GTGCGTTCTGCTACTAATCTGGTTGGCTATATAGCCGCCTAGATCACTTGTAAAGAATGAGCTCTGCTCACTGAAAAAAACAATACCAAGATCATGGCTGCAGCAGCATTTACTTTTAATTGCATTAATAAAAAATGAGCATTAGGTCTTTTCAAGCCTATAGACCTACTGATCGCTGTAGTTTCAGCACAATCAGAGGTTTGCAATGTAGCATATTTCGGTACCATATATCCAGACAGTGACCGCATTCTCTTTGATTTTGTTATACCAGGGGGGAGGACAAGAGAAATGTGACATGGAAACAGCTTCCAAAGAAACCAGTGAAGAACCTTCTTAGTGTGCTGAGAAAAATCCATCCTTTGTTGAAAGGTAAGCATCTTAGACTGCTGCTATCAATAATCTGTTGTATAAATGTGATCCCATACATATATAAAAGTTGATTCTCAGTGAAGCCTGCACAGTGGTAAAGTAATGATACACAGAGTGGGTTTGACGGCCACCTCAAGCTCATGCAGTTGGTGTCATTGGTAAGTCCAAAAAATACTCAGTACACTTAATTTTTTCTGTCTTCTGTTATTGTACAACCTGTTGTGCTCACTCTTTAAGAATTCTTCAGATCACCTTTTCACTGTATATGCTTCCATCCTTCTCTGTGTTGGCCCTGATTGCCCACTGGTCATCTTCTGTCAAGAATAGTCATTTTCATTACTCCACCGCCTCCAACTCGAAGCCTAGAACCAAGTCCAGGCCCCAGTTTGCCTGCAAGCCCTAGAACTCCAAGTCTCAAACCCTCAGACAAGTCCTTTTCTGCATGAGGGTGTGCCTCCAATTTCCAAAGTAATAGGGCGTCTGTCAGTGCAGGAGATGGTTTCCAGGGGCTTCAAGCTTGAATTTGTGTTCCTCCTTCTTTGTCACTGCACAGAGTAGCAGATCTACAGACAGCTGTAGCGGGTCTTCTGGAACATGGTGTCATTGCCCAAGTTCCTGTGGCAGAATGATTTCAGGGGTTTAACTCCAACCTTTAAAACTTAAAGTGCCAGAACAACAATATGTGCATGAGTAAAATAGATAAATACAAAAAAATGTGGATATTTACACGCCAGCTGGAATTAGTTTTCTGTGTTGACTATAGTTGTTGTAGGTTTTTAGCACTGTTGCTTTATCTTTAAATTTACTACAACCTGTACAGAGTTCCCATACCCAAAGGTGACATCTGCTTCCTTTTATATGATTTTAGGACCCTAAATGTCTTCATTTGGCCCTAAACATTCTGCATTAAATCCACTATCTCTGTCATATCCTCCCTTCATCAAGGAGAGTTTCTGGCCTGTGTGGAAATCAAGGACATGTACCTGTGTACGTCCCTATTTTTTCAGTGTGTCAGTGGTTTCTATTAGGGCTGTCCAGATACCGATACTAGTATCGGGCCGATACACTGCATTTTCACAAGTACTTGTGAAAATGCACCGATACCGGCACTTTCATTTGTAAAATAGTTACAGGCAGCCCAGAGGTACTGCGCTTGTTGAGGTCCTCTGGGCAGCCTGCCGGGCAGCTAAACGAGAACCTCACAGAAGCTCCTCCCACAGTATGGACACGAGAGCAATGGGGATGACACTCTCGCTGCGATGAACGAAGGGCCACGTGGGAGACCAGGGAACGGACTCCTGCACAGCGCCGCGCTCCTGTGAGTTGCTTTTGAATGTTTTGCTTTTGTATGCGGCAGCTGTGACAGGGTTGGCTGCGCGCGTGATACATGAAGTTGGGACAGATTGGAAGAAGTAGGGAAGACATGTAACTAATTTCTACAGTGTACTGGTCCTGGAACTGTGTGCTATGGATCATTTAACCGTTAAATGATCTATAGTACACAGTACACACTTCCAGCACATTGCAGAAATACTTACAATTCTCCCTAGCTAACCTGAATAGGTTAAATTTTAACCTATTCAAGTTAGCAGGGAAGAATAGTAACTATTTCTGCAGTGTACTGGAAGTGTGTACTGTGTACTATAGATCATTTAACGGTTAAATGATCCATAGTACACACTTCCAGTACACTGCAGAAATACAATTCTTCACAGTAACGGTTAAGTGATCCATAGTACACAGTACACACTTCCAGTACACTGCAGAAATACAATTCTTCCCTGCTAACTTGAATAGGTTAAATTTTAACCTATTCAGGTTAGCTGGGGAGAATTGTAACTATTTCTGCAGTGTACTGCAAGTTTGTACTCTATACTATGGATCATTTGATTTAACCTATTCAAGTTAGCAGGGGAGAATTATAACTATTTAAATGATCAGGTTGCAGAAATAGAATAACAATTCTCCCCTGCTTCTTCCAATCTGTCCCACTTCCCCCAATTAAACTTGAAGTTATGCAAAGTATTGCTGATATGAAGCAATGACTGGATTGGATGTGGTAAATATTATGAACATGCTCCGCAAGAAAGTACCCTAAAATCATAAGGTCTCGTTCACACCTAGGCGTATTGCATATGCGCGACTGTCGCGCGGTAAAAAGTTGCGCGACCGTCGCGCGTTCCCGAAGGCTACTTGGCTGTATCCCAATGGAAACGCGCAACAAAACGGCCCAAAGTAGTACCTGTACCTTTTCAGGCGTGGGCCGTTTTGTAGCGCGTTAGGGACGGCTGAAATACGCCAAGGTGGGAACGAGACCATTGAATACAATGGGATTTATATTTTTGAGCATTTTGTAGAGCGTTCGTCGAGCGTAGAACGCGCTACAAAACGTTCAGGTGTGAACGAGGGCTTAGTCTGTATTGTTTTAGAAAAAATGTCACATGTCCCTTCAAGAAAAGTATCATTAATTGGTATCGGCAAGTACCTGAGGGACAGTACTTTTGCTTGGTCTTGAAAAAGCGGTATCAGGACATCCCTAGTTTCTATGCTTTGCTGTGGGTCCTGTGGGCATTTTCTGTTTGTAGCCCTGCCTTGCAGCCTGGGCATTCACAGGTACTGCCTTAGTGTAATCTGGAGCAGTCCCATTGTGGGGATCTACACAAATTCCTGCTGAGGTAGCAGTTGGCAATGTAGCTCTGACTGTCCAGACCTTGCAGAGGTTCAGAAGGATCCTGAATCTTAAAAAAAATAACCGCTATGGAACAATGGAATATCTGATTTTAGTTTTAGGCACAGCTGAAGACAGTGTTTTTCTTCAAACTCTCTTCTCCCAGACTGAAACCCTTTTAATCCAGGAGTCACCTGATTCTTGGCTTCTACATGAGTCTTAGGGTTGATGGTAGACTCGAGGCAATTTCATTTTTATAGTTTCACTCCAGACCTCTAAAAGGCAACATTTTGTTGTTATGGACAAGTAAGTGCTGTCCTTGGACAGACCGATTCATCTGATACCAAAGACTATCCCTGACTTGGTGACTCAGGAATCCAGATCTGAAGTTGGGGAAGTCCTTCCTTCCTGTCTTTTGGAAGATTCTCGATGCTAGCCTGTTTGGCTGGGAAGGAGTCTTGAGCAACCCATCTGAGCTTTATGGGATTTGGCAGTCCAAGCAGCTCTAGGCCTCCTGGCTGGAGGGTCACCTGATTCAGACTGACAATGTCACGGCATCAGGGAGGCTTCAGAAGTCATGCCATGGCAAGGTAAGTAAAGGGTTTCTTCTAGGCAGAATTTCACATTCCGGGCCTTGTCCACTATTTATCTGCCTGGGTGTGAAAAATTGTCAGGCAGACTTTCTCAGCCACCAGCATCTGGACCTGCAAGACTGGCACTACACCCTGAGGTGTTCCAGAAATGGTGTTGACCTCCTGGCTTCTAGGTCCTGGTAATTTTATGTTTCGTAACCAAATGTTTATTGGGTTTTCAAATAAATAATCAGCATTTTACATGGTATTTGCCGGCCACAGAAGGCCACATAGGCAACATAATGAAATCCATAAAATGTAATTTTATGTTTCAAGGACCATCCTGCTTCATAGTTGCTGACATTGATGACATGGCTTTTGAAGCCCAGGTTTTGAGAGACAGGGCATCTCCTAATTGCTTATTACCACAATGCTCAAAGCTAGGAAGTTTACTTCTTGCACGGGCTATCCCTGTAGATGGTAGGCATACTTTGCTTGTTGTGAGACAGGAGGCTTCCACCCCAGGAAATTCTCTGTGGGACGAATCCTTACCTTTTTGCAGATGGGTCTAGACCAGCATTTTGCTCTAAGCACCATTATGGGTCAGGTCTTTGCTCTTGTTGTCTTGTTCCAAGAGTGTTGACAGTGTCATTCTTGATCAAGACCTTTGTGCCGGGTATCGCCCATGTGGCTTCCCCTGTTTGCTCCTTTTGGGTCGGTGGGATCTGAATTTGGTTCTCTTGGCACTTCAAAAATTTCCCCTTTAAACCTATCGGAGACATTCCCTTTTCCACTCCCACCCACAAGGTGGCGTTTCTTGTAGCCATCAACTCTGTGAGGTGTGTGTCTGAGTTGGTGGTCTTATGTAAAGAACCCTTTCTGGTATTGCACAAGGACATTGGTTCAAGCTTTTAGAAATCCATTTCTCAGCTACTGCTGCCTTCAGAAAGACTCTCACTCTTTTTGTCATTCTGGATTGTCCCTGTAACGATGAACCAGCTTCTCATTCCACCATTTCTTGGTGGCTCAGACAGATTGTAATCTAAGTTTATGTTCTCAAGAATCGGTAGGTGGCAGTATAAACTACAGTTAATGACTTTGTGTCCCTCAATGGATCTTAAAAAATCCTATTCTTTACATTTGTATCTCAGCCAGAGGCCAAGCCATTGACTTGTCTTAAATCAATAAAAATACTTTAAACATTAAAAAAGTATCAACCTATATTTTCTTACTTTAACTGTGTATGTTTTAACCTCATTTTTTGCAAACGGTATATATAATTTTAGGAGTGTTAAGCAAAAACTTTTCCTAGATAGCTATCTAGGTTATTTCAATAACATGTATTACATGGAAATGTATTACTGAATAGCAGGTAATTATATTTGTACTCCCGTATTTAGTCCACAGACAAACCCAAGAGCAGAGTGGGTTGGAGATGACTCCTATTGAAGCTGACTTCACTTGGCAAAAGAAAATGAGGGAGATGGAGTTGGAAATACAGGAAGCATTTCTGCGTTTTATGGCAACTATACTGAAAGGCTACAGGCCTTACTTAAAGCCCATAACTGAAGCTCCTTCTAAAAAGGCCACTGCAGCTAACTCCCTTTTTGACCACCAAGGTACATTTTATTTATACCTTTGAAAGCACTTTCTATAGATATTTACCCCCAAGGCTTTATTTACCATTTTTGTGCATTGTATATCTTTCTGGTTTCATTAGTATATTAGTATATAATACTATTTTATGTATAGCTCACAAAAATGTCCAGATCTTGATACATTGCATATTTAATTGTATTAAATATGTACAATTTATTGATTGTATAATTTCTCACTGGTTGTAAAGTAGGTTTTTTTGTTTGTTTTGAAGTTCATAATTTAAAGCACAAAAACACAATAATCTTGAGCAGGGGTGTAACTACAAATCATGGGGCCCCATAGCAAAACTTTGAGGCCCCCCAGCTAACTCTGTAACTGCTAGCAGTGTCAACTGTGACAGTACTTGTCATTGATCTTAACATGAAGTATGTATTAAGGACAGGCAGCAGGAGAGCTGTCAGCATAGTCAGTACACTACTCGGAGCAGTGCTGGGGGAAAACACGTCACCCTGATACATACTTACTTATTTATAATCTAGCTTCATTAAAGGTTTTTTTCGTATAACCACAGACCTCAGTCGTCCTCTAAGGTTAACAGAGGTGAAACTCTGAGATTTGTGACTGCATTGGGCATGCAGAGTTACTTTCAGTCTGTAGTAGAAGTTCAGAGGGCAATAAATCTACACTGCTAAGATAGATAAGTAAATGCCTCTTACCACAGGGGGATCTGTGACTAAATGATCCTGAGCTCTGACCTCAGCCCCTCTATACCGGAAACCTCAAAGTTTAATTTTCCTAATCATGCCTCCTCCTACCCTAGGTCCCATAGCTGCTGGGGTTAAAAAAAAGGCTTAAACTTTTGACTTAAGGTCTTTTCTAAGCTACATCATTAGTACTAAACTTTAAAGAAGAACTCCAGGAAAAAACAAAAATACTCCTTGCAGTGGGGCTCTTTTGTGTCTAGGTGCTAAAAAAGTTGTACTCCCCAGACCACCGACGCAGTCATCCACTAGAGCTGCAACACCCTTCCCACGTGTTATATTCCCCTTCCTATCCTTGCTATTCTGAGCCACACAGCCACTGCTGCAAAATCTCCCCAACTGGGCTTTTTCTACCCTGGTGCTGGCCATATAGCAGTTTCAAAGCAAAATCGCCAAGTCATCAATCAGACCAATGCAGTCTACCATTATCCCTACTATTAGGATATAAATAACAAAACTGGTGGCAGGAGGTTGTACTTCTCTGGCAGAATTGAGGGGTGGGGGGCTGGTGGGATACATTCTCACAGCACACTTCAACTGATACTACTAAGGCCTCATTTACACAGCGCAAACTCAGGCCGTACACGTCCGTATCGGCCCATTCACAGGAGGTACAGGTGCTGTGTGTGATTGCACGCAGCAGCCTGTTCTTCCCTATGGGAGGACGCGGCCATACGCTGTCATAGGGACACCCGAACTGCACATCGCGCGGGTCCGGGTGTCCGTACTCGGACGCAGGCAGGATATCCTCCCATAGGGAAGAACAGGCTGCTGCGTGCAATCACACGCAGCACCCATCCCTCCCGGGGACGGCCCGATATGGGTGTGCACGGATGTATATGGCCCAACTTAACGCTGTGTGAATGAGGCCTAAATGTCACAGTGTAAAGTTCTGCTCTAATTGAAGTTTTCCTTGATATTACAGGGTTTTTGAAAAGTAGGGATCGATCCCACATGAAGTTTTACTCGCAGCTGACAAAAACTCAGATCTTCATCCGCTTCATCGAAGAGTGCAGCTTTGTCAGCGACAAGGACACCAGTTTGGCATTTTTTGATGACTGCATTGAAAAGGTAACGAGATAATGACATTTATATATTTAGGGTGTGTCTTATACTTAAATTCTGCTTCACACATTAAAGGATAGTCCTGAGTCTTCCAGTGAAGACTATTACACTGTCTTTTAGTTCATTAGTATTTTTATTTAAGTTTAATACAAAAATACAGTCCAGCATACAGTTAGTAATGTATTGCATGTGCTCCATAATGTCATGGAGCTGACTTCAAATGGCAATTATTCCAAATTTGAATAGTATAGCAAGCCAGGGGTTCACCCTGTACTGTTTGCTGTGGCATATGTCATTTAGAACTAGAGCTTTATGGTGGACATTCTAAAGCTAGCAATACACTGAAGGACTGTTTTCATTCAGTTTGTGGAATCTAACAGACTCCTTCATCCATTTTAAACTGCGTGGGTGGACAAATCTTCAGCTGGGCTATTGCTCACCCGCCAATGTCAGAGTACCCAAATATTGACTGCAGCTGATTGGCTGCAATCACTGTTTGGCCGAAAATGTTCCACCCGATTCCTCTGGTTTTCTAATCGAAGGGTGTCAGGCAAAAGGCTGCCAACAGGACTACCCACTGATTGAATTAATAATCTGATTTCATCTCAATTTGCTAAGTGTATAGCCAGTTTAAAGGTCCAGAAATATGGGTGATGGGTGGACCCTTGCTCTTGTGATTCAGGGCGGTAGCTGGGTGAGGCAACAAGAAGAAGGCATGAGAATGAAGATACAAACAGGAGTAACCGTATTTACTAGGTTTCTACTAGGTCTACTAGGTTTCTGTATATATGTATTTGTATATACAATAACCTTTGTTTTTAATTTTTGTAGCTGTTCCCGGAGAAGGGCAATGAAAAAGGAGACAAGGTATGAAATGCTTCAAACCGTAGAATAAACCTCCCCATGGTTCATCTTCAGGATTTGTTGTGTGTGTGTGTGTGTGTGATCTGTGTCTTGTACAGCTCCTTTTTTCTGTTCTTGTTCACTGTTAAAGTATGTATTTATCTATGTGGCAGGTAGACCAGGAATCCCCAGAGGACACCCGTCTGATAGAGCTAGATGAGTCTCAGAAGAGTGAGCACACCGTTTTTATAATGCCACCTGAGCCTCTGCCAGAGGATGGGCCTGATGCAGCTCCAAAATATAGGTAATCAATGCAGTACAGAGTAACATGTAATATGTTTCAAACACTATTTACCTTATGTTTGATTTATGTTTTCTCTGGGGGCCATATATTATTAATGAATTCCGGAAAAACATTTGCTTAACTCTTGCAGTGGGGCGACCCCCGCACTGCAAGGGTTAAGTGCTTGTTTTCGTCTAGGTGCGAAAATAACAATTGTATTTACCCGAGCCTCACAATCGGCTGGCTGTTAGAGCTCTCTCTCCAGCCAACCTCCTACACTTCAGTGATGGTATATCCCTCGGTGTCCTCGCGTCCAATACACAGTGTGCTGGACGTGATGACTCACGGGACATTAGACCGCTGGAGCGGAGTGTGAGAGAGGCTGGAAGGTCCCGTCTAATAGCCAGTCGGCTCCGAGGGTCAGGCTAGTAAAACTTTTTTTTATTTTTGCACCTAGATGATAACGAGCACTCAACACTTGTAGTACAAGGATCACCCCACTGCAATTGTTTTCCCAGAGTTCTGTAAATGATACTTCTTAACCTGCTGAATAAGCCCAAGAATGTACCAGATAATTGTAGCTTTAAAGTGTTAAATACTAAACTGAATTCCTATCTGTAAATTTCTTCATAGACTAATTAACCATCTTATTCTCACCACTTCACAGAAAATGGCCTTCACACTCACAGAGGTTCTGTAAGCTGTGACTACTTTGTCAGCCTACAGCATATAATGAACAGTTTAGAGAGTATAGTCCTAGATGTGATTTGTATTGTCTTAATTGTTTAGAGCTTCCAATTGCTGCAAACATTTTTATCTTACGGCTGTATAGTTTGTCATTTTTTCTCATCCATTAAGGGGCACAGGAATTTTTTAACTGTCAGGATACACTGCATACAGGAGGATTGGACACTGGCACAAAAAAGAAATTGTAAGCCAGCCCAGAAAAATCCCCCCAACTACCACTATGCCTTAGACTTTGGATAATATCTAAGCAGGATGGATGTCTTCACTTGTGCTGGGAGTCTTACCAATTTTTTTTCTTTACTTTAATCAGGATTGTTTACTACATTGCTGCTTGAGCTGGTTTCTACGATAGCAGCTATCCAGATCTGTCTTACCACAGCCTAGCTTTGCCGTGCCATACCCAGAACCCCCGCTGGACTGGATGTTTTGGGTCTAGTCTGGAAATGACCTTTGGGAACTAGGTTCCAGTTTAGGCTTCATTCACCCGAGTCGCACACGTCTGTGCAGCGTGCACACCTGTATCGGGCCGTTCCCGAGAGGGACAGGTGCCGTGTGTAGCAGTCTGTTCTTCCCTGTGGGAGGAGACGGGCGTACGGTATCATACGCACACCTGAACTGCACATCTTTGTGGGGTTGGGTGTCCGTACTCGGACGCAGACAGGAAAGATCCTGTCTGCGTCCTAGCAGGGACACCCAGACCCGAACGGATGTGCAGTTCGGGTGCGCGTATGACAATATACAGCCTCGTCCTCCCATAGGGAAGAAGATATTGCTGCACGCAATCACACCCAGCACCTGTCCCTCCTGGGAAAGGCCAGATACAGGCTGTCTTTATAGAGCCTATTTTGTAAGTAGGTCAATCAGGCTGAGCATCCAGAGTTAACTCGCTGTTGCACCTTTTAAAATTACAGTTTTCCACCAGTTTCAACAAAGAAAGTGTTAACACTGAGGGACTGAGTGCTGTCATTATCCACTGGTGAAGTTATTTCCTGTTACTGCCATTCAGCATTGAGGAAGCATCTTCCTGCTTTGCAAAAAGCCACCTGGAACACTGATCTTTGACTCATTCCTACTGCATCTACTGTAACTGCGGTCCGTTCTGGCCATTCAACCCTATAACTCCTACCATTGGCTAAGTTCTGCGAGTACCTAAGGCATGGTCACGTACCCTGAATTATAACCCCCATTTGGATGCAGCATGTCTGCTTCTAGACACAGTCCTGCTGTTCTGGATGCACCCTGCTCACACTTCTAACAGCTCTGGTGCTGCTAACAGCGTGCCTACTGATGCTGCTAACAGTTGCAGCCTGCAATCAACTTCTCCACTGCTCCTAAAGTCTACTCCATCGGGCATGCCGGCCTCCTATGTGCCTTCCAAGGAGGTTTTTACTTCAGTCATGCATGACTTTATAGGCCAAATAGCACAGATGTTAGCTAAATCTGAATGCAGAGGCTTCAAATGTGCTTCCTTGCCCTACAGTGTTCCCCCTTGGCCCTGCCTGAGACAGTTTGTACAACTGGACCAGTGTAAGTGTGTGTGTATGTATATGTGTATATGTATATGTGTGTATATATATATATATATATATATATATCTCTCTTTATAAAAAAAAAACTGGGGCATGCTGGTAGTAGGAGGGGTTATCCTGGGCTGGTACAATTGTTTGTGCGTGTCTAATCCTCCTGTAGGTGACAGTATAACCCAACAGTTAAGGATTTTGTGTCCCTCGGTGGACTCCAATAAAAGTATTTAACAGCAAATACAAAAATCCTATTTTATTTGTTAATAAAAAGTTTTAACAGTGATGTAACATGAGTTCTTTTTCATTGATTATATTGTTTGTGCTTTAAATTTAGCTACAAATGTTTTCCGAGACTTGATTATTCTCTCTTTGACCGGACTCGTGAGCAATACCTTACATTTAATGGAAACTCAAAAGACAGGCGAGCTGCAAGCAGTCCTACGTTTATTGCTAAGAGGACCAAACAGGTTAGATATCATTTCATTAAATTAGATTAATTTTAGCCAGTTGTACAGAATAACTTGGATATTTTGTATATGGTTTGTGCACCACATAACTTCTGCAACGGTAGGTGTGTACCTTTTTATTTAATGTGTTACCAGAATAAAGCAATGTGTACATTTCACATATTACATGAATAAGTCAGTTATCATGTAAGTGGTAACTTTACATTGGCAAAATTGCGATGCTGTGGCACATATATCCGGAGCACAGTCTTGTGACTCCTGTAAATTTGCATTTGTAGAGCGGAGGTGTTTTTTTGCTCCTGCAACTTGACTGTCTGAGGAAGAAGCATTTACAGTAATTCTAAGTTACAAAGAAAATTTTGTTTCACACTAAAACACATGCAATACATCTTGAGTTCTACTTTGTTTAACAAGTACTAGGGGTTCGATTAGCTAAATATTTTTAAATGAAGAAAACATGTTTTTGCATTGGATTGCTACTTAAAGGAGAACTATGAGGTGAGTGATTTACACTCATCCTCATAGTTAGAGCCGACCTGTGACATTGAAACTGTGACACATCGGCTCTATTGGTCGGGAAGTGAGCGGACACATACCATCGCTCACTCATTCCCCGATCATCTCCTTGTAGAGAGCAGTGACTGTCAGTCACAGCTCCCCGCAGGGATTCCCCTCTCCCTTCTTTGATCCTCCAGCACTGAGTTGAGGAACGGACGGGGGAGGGGGCAGGCACAGCTGGCTCTGCCTCTAGATAGGCAGAGCCAGCTGGGTGGATCTCAACAGTATTGCCGGGATCCGTCCCAGCTGCGGTGCTCTCAGTATATAGCGAGCAATAGCCCGCTATATACTGTGCTTTGGGTCACGGGAGGAGGTTAGTATATGTCCTCCCATGACCCTAAGGAGAACTATAGGATAAAAAGGTTACCCCATAGTTCTCTTTCAATGTTTTCATGTTTCCCATTTCCTTTGCAAATTATTATAGTGGAAATGTATATAAAAATAAGTAGTGCTTCACAATTCCCATCTTACTTCCCTAATGTAATACAGACCTCAGATGTAGATGCTGCCACTACACAAGGCTGCATGGAGCCAGGCAGTGTGCATCTTCTCTCCTGTGAAGTAAATGTGCATGTAGAGCTGCAGCTAACTATTATTTTCAAAATCAATTAGTTAGCCGATTATTACGTTTGGTTAATTGGATAAAAAATAAAATACATTTTTCAAAATGGCTCCAGTGATGGGACTACTAGTTTGTATTGAGATTGTAGTCCATCACAGGAGCATGCATGGAGCGGTAGAAATAAAAAAGAAAAAGAAAGTGTGGTGCAATATAGTGAAATGAAAAGTGTAAAATTATACACCAATTAATGCAGAATACCACCAGCTATAGAGGAATACAACAAATCCCAGCAATAGTACATTATAGCTGGCTGTATTCCACATTGCGCTGTATAATGTATTATTGCTGAGATTTGTAGTCCTCTATAGCTAGTGGTATTCGGTATTGCACTGCTGTATAATGTATTATTGCTGGGATTTGTTGTGCTCCTCTATAGCTGGTGGTATTCCGCATTGCGCTGTATAATGTATTATTGCTGGGATTTGTAGTCCCCTATACAGCGCAATGCAGAATACCACCAGCTATATAGGAATACAACAAATCCAGGCAATATATTATACATAGAGTGTATAATGTATTGCTGGGATTTGTATTCCTATGTACAATATACAGCACAATGTACCATCAGCTATAGAGGAATACAAATCCCAGCAATACATTATAGAGCACCATGTGGGGGGGGG